TTTCTCTATAAAAGAAAATGAAATAACAAAATTAAACGAAAAAATTAATAAGAGCAAACTCTTAATAATTTGGGTTCTGATATTCTTGTTATTGTCGTGACAACACTATCAGTTTATTAAAATTATGCGATCCTTTTGCGCTTGTTATTTATTTTATTTCATATAAATTAAGGCTTGACTTTTAAAAAAATTTGGCATTTATTTAATCTTCGTTTTACACTAAAATGCACTTTTAAGATCAGTCACGTGTTTTTCAAAAACAAAAATCCCGTTATTTCAAATTTTATGGATTTTTTAAATGCTCAAAAATTCTTCCAACAAAAAAAATTGAAGATTGTTTTTTTCTTTTTAACTTGGAAAAAATTATCTTAGAGTACCGTGAAAAATCACTGCGGCGTGAAATATTACTGCGAATCGTTATTGGGACAAAAATAATGTTATTGTTGCTTATAAAACATAAAAAATAATTTACTTTGTAAAAATGTTATATAATATGGCTTTCAATAAAAACAAGGGTAAATTCGTAAAAAGGAACATTCCAAACAACTCAAATTAGATATGGGTTTTTATTTTATAGTTTTTAACAATTTATAACTTATAATACGAAACAATACATCAAACATAATTACAAAAACGAATAAGTTAGGACATCGTATATTTAAATAATTCCTCCACTCTTTGGTTTTTATAAAACTCTATTTGATTTCTTTTCAGCTAGTTGTTATTTTATGCTGGGAATATTCAAATTATTAACTTTTATTGTATAAACATAATTTATCATCAAAAACAATATGTTTTATCGTTATAATTATATAGAAATGCACAGTAATATAAACTCGAATAATTTTAGATGGAATAAACGTATTAACATTTATATTAATATTAAAACAACAATTTACAATAAAGTGAATACAGGTATAATACAAAAACGTGTTATGAACATATCAAATTAATTAATAAAAATGAATATATTTGATGATAACAAACGGTTAACGAGTGTGGGGTTTTCGGATGGTCGATTATTTTATCACACCTGTTTCAAAATCTAAATAATTTGTTGAAATGAAAGAATTAAGTTGTTTGGGGTTCTGGTGTATTAACCCTTTTGAAATAATAGTAATTTATAATAAAATTATGTTTAATTTTTTGATGAGTTAAATTATATGATAATAATTATTAAAAAAATAGTTTCACATTTAAAAAATAAATATAATTTATTGTTATTTAATTAAAAATTTTTGCTATTGATATGTTGATGTTAATTTAATTTACACGTTATTTAACTATTTCACTTGTTTGTTGTTTATTATATTTTAATTAAATTTATACTATAATAATAGTTCATTGTTTGATTTATTTGATGTGAATTGTGATTGTATTTCCAAAACATTCCACAATCAAAAAAGCCAGTAATCATACACCCAACCTTTCAAGTATTTACTGGACAGTTTCGATATTACAGATGTTACTATTTAATACATAATTATATTGTTTATTCATTTTGTTTTTAAACCATTTTTTGTGTCACGGTGTGACGGGTTAGATTCTTTCTTTGTTTTTTTAATAGAAAAATCAACGACTCTCATAAAACACAAACAAGACATTGAGTAATGATTTTTCAAATAACAAATCATTGTGAAAGCAACTAATGAATTCACTTTATACATCAGAATGTAATTATATTGTTAAGTGATTATTTGGTAATTAAAATTATGAAGACGATTTTTTATTTATAATTTTTAATCATTAACGACAATACAATATTAAGCAAAACTTTATTGTTAAAATGTGTTCATATTTTGGCAGAAATATGGACTGTTCAATAAAATTATATTTATTAAATTGATGTAACTAATAAATCATTATTGATTATTGGTACATTTATTCACATTTTAAAAATAACAAAACATAATTTTTCTTGGTAAAATAATTTTTGGATATGTGAAACTATGATTTAGAATTTGTCTTTTTGTAATAACAAAAAAATAAAAACGTTTTGTTTTTCAATTAGAAAAGGAAAAAATAAAACCATCATAAAAAGTATATAAAAACACCATTTTTCATCTTAGCACAATCTGTTGACTTAGCCTCAAAAGATTTTGTAAAACAAAACTGTCGTTTTTCATTTTAACAGCCTTAAATAACAAAAAATTAACCCAAAATGTTTTAAAACCCTTAATAACATTATTTTTGGACCAATAACAATTCGCAGTAATATTTCACGCCACAGTGATTTTTCACGGTACTCTAATTTTAAACAAAAACTGATTCCCAAAAATAATAAACAAGTGATATTAATGCTTTCCACAACAACAAGAGCAGTGTGTGCATGAACATGAACATCCACTCTGTGGGTTGTGTGTGCAGTTGACAACCTTTGAGACGCCACAAGTACATTTTGCAATCAATCGACATCCATTTGAACAATCTGTTGTGATGACCATACGATCAGATGTGACAGTTGTCTTATACTTCCCATCTACTTTCTTTCCTTCAACACGTCCACTTGCTCCACATTTGCACTTCAATTCACAGAGGCATGTCTCTTGACTTATTGAACATGTTGCGGTGATGTCTTGACTGTTACAGTTCAAGTTACACTCAGTAGTATTCATTCTCTGCCTTCTCGTTTGCTGAGAGTGCTTTTATTCACATTATTATATTTGGTAAAAACAAATACAGTCAAAGTAAAAAAAAGGATGTCTCAATGAAAAAACTTATCATGGACAATGGAGTTTATTGTTAATTTTTTAATCGTCTTTTAGCTTTTGTAGCTTATACTCATTTTTATGTTTTTAGTAACTTTTTAAAAAACAATATAATTGTAC